CTGTTTACAGTGTTCTAATCATTACGATTTACTTATTTTTTGCTTCCATTCTAGATAATTATGCTCAGTGATGTAAAATTGAAGCGATGACTGAATAAACGAACCTTGGCTGACGAAGATGTATCAGGAAGTGTACTCATTTGTTGGAAGTGAACAAAATATTCAATGTAATGACAAAAATTGTAAAATGCTGTGGAATTTCTTATGTAAATAAAAATATACTAGCAATTTTCTATTAATGGTTTATTCAAGTGGGCAAAATATAATGTACAGAAAAATTGCCCGTAGAGTATCGCTACACTGAAAAGTAAGCAACCGACAGCCTGTATAAAAGGGGGCCTGTGATTGGCTGTTACTTACGCGAGATTTGAACGGGACTTACGTAGGCGTCGGATCAGATGTATGTAGGGCGGAATTACAAAAAATCAAAATCAAAGTAAAATAATAAAATAAAAAGGCATTAATAACAAAAGTAATAACAAATAAAATTAAAATAAGTTTATAGCCAAAATAATTAAAGCCCGTACACTACATCAGATTTTAATCAGATTGCTTTGACTGTTGTGAAGATCAACGAGTATAAACTGAGACGTTACTAAGCTTTAATTAGGTATATTTTTAGGTGATTCGAAGGTATCAAAGGAGTCATCGGCGGTAATTAGTGCAAGTCGCGCCCGGGTCAAATCTCATACTTGTGATTTCCATTAGAAGAGCGCACTGGATTATGGAAAAATCAATATTTATCAACACAAATGTCGCATATGCGCAGCGCGACGACTGCCGCCCTTTAAGCCAATATTTGATACATCGTTTCATGTATATTACATACAGTGGTAAACGTCCACATTCCACAAGAATTTGTTCTGAACCTGTTACATTTGTGATGGATATTCCAGACCCCAAATGTAACTGCCATAACAACTGCAATGTCAAATAACTTGAACGCATCTGGGAGGGAAATACCCCCTATTTTCCTGATTAATGTGTTGGTTGAAATAAAGCATTCCTACACCGATTTGCGCGATTTTTTTTTTTCGTGTCCAATTTAGTCTCGACGTGAAAATTGGTAACAAAACGTTTTACTGTGCTACTATTTGATAGGTTTCATTAAATGAGCATTT